TGTTTAGTGTTTTTCTACCTACTTCATCACGACACATGTCTTTAAGGTTGTTGGGTGCTCATAGAATACAGCGGCCCAATTACTTGTAGAATGTATTATTGTAAGAACATCTTGGTAGCAGATCTAAACGAAGATTGATGTTAATCTTACTTCTTCACCTAAAACTGTTCCTCGTCAGGTAGTTGCAAAGTGAGATGTTTATTAATACACACACGAATTGCGGCGATTCTTTTATTTCACCGGAATACATGTACCCCATAAGAATTGCGTTTTAACATTCAGTTAACGTTTGCCTTGAAAAACTGCTCTAGTCTACATAAAAGTGGCCTACTGTCAGGAACTATGAAGAGAAAAGACGTACGGTGTATTATGCATATAGATCGGTTTTAATGTTTTATCAGCAAAACATATACAAAAAATATGGTGAAATCCAAAACCTCATATCAAAATTCAGATAAAGTAACTGAATTATTTAGGAAGGGTATTTTCAGAGTAAGGAGTTCATACGTACATACACAAATACAACACACTGTTGTGTTCTAAATATTTAATTTTGCTTCTCATTGAGTCCCAGCGAGATTACTTTCTAAACCCCCGCAACCTATAAACCTTGACCCCAGGTCGATTGTTGTTAAATATTCATAAGGGTGCTATGTATGGAACATATCTGACATGCAACTGCCACTGAGGAATAGATGGTTAACGAGCAATCAGAGTCACAGTCATAGTAACAATGGAGCTAGAATAAGTAATCGGCGATCTGACCGTCAGCACTACAAGTCATACAGGAACTCTACAGATCTGGAGGTCCACTTACATAATATCCATGGAACCATAATCGATCTGAGGATTTATATATTAATTACGTCAATTACAATCTCCTCATTCTGCCTGAAAGTGACAACGACATGCCGAGTTTCGACAGATTGACAACAATAAATCTTTTTGCCTGTTGCAATACAGTGATATCGATATTCACTACATGGAGTTAGAATACATTTGTCGATTTGTATTCTGCTCTGATATCGCTCGAACCGTTGGTGTTGAGATAATGGATATATTGAATATTCGTCACAGGTGACATCTAGCCAGACACATCAAGCTGGCACAAGGTTAGACTAATGCTTAGTCTCTGAAATATATATAAGTTTGATAGTAACAAACAAGCCCATTTAAATTGAAAAGGAGCCCCAGGGAGACCAGAGATTCAGAACCTGAGGAAATCTCGACTTGCTTTATTTAGGGCTTTAGCACTGCAGAGAGGGCTAGATAGTAGGGAAAATTATGTGGTTCAGGGACTGTGAGACAGACTAACACAAGGTCAGTACACTGTAATCTTGGCCGAAGCGGTGTTAAGTCAAACTCCCTCCCTCCCTCACACACTCACCATTCCGAAATAGATGTCACAGAGTTGGCAGTTAAAGTAAATTCGTGTTTGATTGGAAAAGGCATTAGTCGCTATCAGTTTAAATAAATAGACTTCCCTGAATATGACCTTTTTACCTTTACTGCGTATATTGACGTCTTCGAAAACGAAAAACGCATTAGCGATCTAGTAGTGGTAATTTGATTACCTTAAATGTCGCCTTCACAACCCTGGGCAGTCGTAGACTCGAGGCTTCTGTGGCGATATGTATTATGAGCATAGGTCAGACTGGTCATAGGTCACGACCTTAGTGGATCCAAATATACATCAATATATGTGTCAGAAATATTTCATTTACCAGTGAAAACGTAATATTCCTTAGTACAATATCCTACCAGTCTTTGATGTATTTTAATCAGAAAGTATATTTTGAATGATAAGCTAAAGTACATCTACCGTCATTAATTTTAGAACATAATCGACGCGTGATAAGTATTAGTTAAGATCGTCATGTAAACGGGGCGGTGGGGTAGCCTAGTGGTTAAAGCGTTCGCTCGTCACGCCGAAGGCCCGGGTTCGATTCACCACATGAGTACAATATGTGAAGCCCATTTCTGGTGTCCCCCGCCGTGATGTTGCTGGAATATTGCTACGGCGGCGGCGTCAGTGAGTCAGTCATGTCAACAATATGTCGACGTCCGGGAACTATTTTGAGTGAGTGTGTGAACGAATGAGTTTGGTTTTGTGCCCAATGGAAAATATGTCGGCTATATACCCGCCTGTTGAAGACCAAACCAATCGGTACATATCATAGACATTAACCATTGAGATATGAAAATCACGAGCCGACAGTTAAAATGTTTCTAATGACCCCAAACTTTAATTCCTAAGGCAATGGGTGTTATAGTATATGCAAAGTAATGATCCTAAAAAATATAACAATTTAGACATAAAATCGCGATTCGTAGAAACGTGATTGTCGGTTCCGTGAGATATGGTATTGACCAAGGTCAGTAAGTAGAGGAATACGTATTAGTACCAGGAAGACGGTGGAAGTGTCTGGTTTGCCGTTACTTCGCAAAGGGTGTCAGCATGGCAATTAGTGCCGCTGAACCAGTCCGTACATTACTTGTAGTGTAAGGTAGATAGCACAGGACCCTTCACGACTGGCTGGTTTCATTACGATGGTACTTGAGATGTAGACTCAAAGAGATTTAGTTATCGATCATCATGGGGGTCCGGCAGTTGACTTACTGCATCGTGTATGTGTCATGCTAGTGGGTGATCTATGATCCAATCAAGGCCTGTATAGCGATCGGCGAAGTATCACAAAACCGCCAGTCGCCCCAGGTGATTTTGTCATGAAAGCTCGGTTTGTGTAAGTACATTAAATACATGGGGCGACACCATAACAAATATGGTCGGGCGCTCAAAGAACTTGTAAGTAAAATGTAATAATAACAGCATTAACGTAATACCACCTAGTTAGTGATGAGTTTGTGGGCTTCAACAACACTCTGTATTTCACGTACGTCACAACAAGGCGACTTAGACGCTAGGAAGCTGGTGCATGATGCTCGCAATCGGATCGGAATCGCAAATATAACAACGAGAAACGCCACTACCAGTGTACGGTACATCACCCAGCAACTGGATGAGGATGCTCCAAGAATCAACAAGATAACTATCTAACTGTTGTGCACCGACAAACCGGCTTTCGCATAGATCCATCAACTTTTAAGAAATAAAAATACACATAAATGCTAAATATGCATCCTGATTAAAAGTATTATTAAAACAAATTATATTATTAAAATGATTATATGGTATCGTAAGGTCTAATACTAACAGTTTGGGTTTACACCACTGTACAATATTCGCGGATATATAATATGTGTGAAAACCTTATAGCGTATTGTTCCCAACAACAAAATCACAGGATCTGTTATGAGCAGGACTCTCAACCAGCGGGATGCCAATGTTAAAGCTGTGTCGGACAGGCTATCAACAGGTGCCCTCATATAGTTTGTAAACATCAGCTGACAAGCAGGTCCATGTGTACATTCATGTCTCCGTGACGAACCGTATTCAGTGGCTTACACGCTGTCGATCAATGTGTAAGAGAATGTTCAGGCTGACGTGTATATTGTGCTGACAATAAGAAACCAGTAGGTCGGCAAATCCCGGACGTCAACACAGTATACCTGTTGCGTGCCTGTATGTCAAATTCCATGTGCCAGATGTCAGAATTACGGGACGCGGTTCACTGTGACAGTGGCATCCGTATATAGTTACACAGACACACAGGCATAATCTGAAATCCAGTCAAATCAAAGCAGTCAAGTGGAACATTGTTCTGGGCCATCCACTTAAATATGTCACAGCACAAGTGTACGTAACATATATCCTAAGATGACGTTAAATGGGAAGCCTGCTCAATGCCTGGTTGGCAATATCCATAATGTCGTATGCTTTGATCTTTTGCCTAGTCTGATTTTTTTATCAAATATTTTAAGAATATTTTACCAGTTCTGCTTGATGTTTACGATGGATAAAACAATTTCCTTTGCAAAAGCATACTTTATCAATGTGCAGGTTAAGTATAAACAAATATAATATGTCATCCGAATTTATGCGAAAGTATGTCTTAACCATGTTCCTTGTAACATATTGTGTTCGTACCTTTCTAAGCAGGTTTTACCTTTGTTCATTTTAACACATGCTTTTACATGACCCTGTGTGATATATTCATCATATCTTCACATTGGGTGTGTAACACAAAAACATGATGTATCTATGTTTCTATGGTACCATGGTGAATTGATATGCCTGTGAATGTATATAGTCACATTTCACTTCAGTTTCCTGTGTGGAAATGCTTTTTGTGTATATCCTTGGGGGCATGTTTTTTATGTATTTTAAAAGGGGCTATGTTTCATCCAAACGAGTCATAATTACCGCTTCAAAATGATCTAAGGAGGCTTCAATTAGTACATGTATGATGTAACATAGTTGTCAGGTTTCCCAGCGTTAAACACAGATCAGAGAGCAAGGGAACATGGCGTTTTATGGCTCCTTCTTTCTCGTTTTGAGGGTTTACTTTGGTGTGATATTTACCAGGGTGGTTTCGGGATCTATATCTCACAGCTTTATGTTTCCAATAAAAGTGACTTTGTATCAAAAGTGCTGTTAAACCCAAGGCAAGTGCAGTTGGGCACAACTTGATTTAATTCAGCACCAACGTGGTACCAAAGTAGGCATTAATGTGTGATGAATGGCCTGATAAATCAATCAGATGATTAGCTTTTAAACCTGCTGCAATCTAAATGGTCCCTAAATTCTTTCAAGGTAATCATGATTAGGTAATGTTTCACAAGAAAATTGAAGATAGTCTATGGGAAGAACGTAGACAGATAAAAGATTCCGAACATTAATTTGAATGTTATAAAATCCTGATGTTATCATTGGATAATCATTTAGGAACGTCAGTCTGGTTTAAGGAAAAAAACTGGTTCGACATTTTATGACAATAAATATTAACAATCCACCATGTTTGAAAGTATGATGCCAAGTAAATTGCTATTGAAAAACACACAAAGTGCACAGTATAGATTACACGTAAATCAACACTCACCTTTCTTTTGGTTCTTAACTGCTGTAGATCTCTAGCCTGATCGGCATTTCCAGGGGAGGTTCGTGTCCATAATAGAATTCCCACAATTGAATATGTCACAGAGAGTATGAAGAGAGGCATTATGTATGTGATAAAGAGCACAAACAATGTGAAAATCCTTCTAGACAAGGGACTCGTCCATGTTTCATCGCAAACAATTAAATGATAATCACCCACTCTCACATCATATGCCCTCCCCACAACCAGCTGAACGGACGAAAGCCCCATGGAGGATACCCATATTGTCACCAATACATATTTTGCCCGTGCACTGGTCAAGCGGGACTTAAGGGGAAACATGACGACCAGAAGCCTGTCTATACCTATTGCCATGTTTGTGAACACGCTTGCTGATACTGACAGGTGCTGCATGAACAGCACAACAGGACACATAGGCTTGGAGAACAGCCACGTCTTCAACATGACGGATGTAAAAGTAAATGGCATACAAAACAAGGCCATGATGAGATCAGCAACTGCAAGGTTGATGAGGAACGGCCGTATATCAGTGCGACATCGTCTACCTTTACAAAACACAAGAACAACGAGAAGATTTCCCATGATGGCAAGAATGGTTGTTAGTGAGTATAAAAATATTAATCCTATTTTCGAGTCCTCAGACAGAACCAAAAACGGAATGTCGGAGGCGGAATTATTCCCTGATGAGGAGTTTGTGTGGTTGTCCACCTGAGACAAAGTCGTGTCGGCCATCGGAGGTTTACATGGGACCTTTGAGCAGTTTCCCTCCCAACTTCCCATGCCCTCGAAGTGGAGATGGACAGAAGTGAGCGAGGAGTTATCATACCCCGCTCGACACCTTTTCCGGAAGTCCCATGGGGCTGTTGCAGATCCTTTTAATCCACAGTAATATCCTAAGTCGGGAAGAATCCTGCGAAGCGATCGTTCTCAAGAGCCAACCTGAACGGCGGGAAATAACCAAATGAAGCCCGCTCTCCTCTCCTATCGTCTGCTAAGTATTGGCAACGTGAAGCTATTGATTCTAACGGCCCGTGCCGCTCTCGTGCGCACGTGCAACAGAAATCAGCGATACGCGCAATCAAGAGTAGTCACCATCTCCCGAGAACACAGCCATTGTTCATGTTTCATATGTGCGTCATTCCACGTTTAAAATCAATAGCTATCACCTACACCTGTTGACATGCGGACAGGGGAAAGGCAGGGTTTTTTTCAGACTGGTCCATGTGTCGGGAATAGTCATCCGTGAACAAACACTCACACGTTTCCTTGATTGAAACTTCTGTAAGGAAATGCTGAAACAGTTGTCAGCACAATTCACTTCTCACAGACAACATTGAGGTTGACGTCAAAATGATCCTATTTATAGGAATCTACCTGTCACTTCTATATTGGTCATAATCTGAGACACAGTCAAGAAAGGATTTCCTCAAACATCCACGTTACAAATCACATCCACAGAGGTCGCGGACAGGCTATCGCAGTGGTACACTCGGTCTACCCTGGCGTGGCGACTCCTAAAGCGTTATATGGACACTGAATGTATTCTTCAGAATCGTTCCATTGTGTGCGATCTAGATGCTGTGATGGGTCAGTGAACGGTAGTGATTGTGTCGTTTTCTGTAGTGGCGGAGAACAGATTGGCGTAACTTATGTAGCAAGCAATGATTCGTTTGTATCTTTACGGTCGACTTGTCTTACTTGTTGTCGGACGAGAGAGGTGAGTTTATGGCGTCACTGTGCAGACGTTGAAGGGCTATTCAAACTGCCTGAAGTTGCAGAATGAGCTTTTTACAGATTTCGTACATAATCTGCAATTTATCATCTCTTCAAACACACGTACTCTAGTATGGTGATCTACCTTAAGTTGGTGGCAATCTATAGCTTGTGTTTATGTTGTATTGTCCAAATAGTGCTATTAGATAAACTTTACATGCTAGTTTTAGTTTTAACTGTGATAGTCTAGTTGTTTTACTTTCCTTTGACGACAGGTTTTATTATATCCACATATTTTTTATAAATGTCCAAATTGTTTTGGTCACGGTATGGCTGAAACATTGCCGATGTGACGTTAGATATTTACCCACTCACTCACACACTCGTTCATGTACATGATACGTCCTCTTCTCTGTCTCACACTCTTTCTTTCTATCTTTGTCCCTCTCTCTTACTCTCATTCTCTTCCTTTAATTTACTCTATCCCTCCGTTCAGCCTCTCTGCCCTCTCTATCCCTATCTCTCACTCTCCTTCCACTCACCCTCTCTCCTTCACTCTCTCTTTCTCTCTCTATTTCTCTCCACCCCCTCCCCTCTCTCATTCTATCTCTATCCCTCACTTTCTTCCTTCCCTCACTCCCTCTCGCTTTCTCTGTATTACCCAGTGTTCTCTTCCTGTCTCGTTGTACACAGGCTTGAGATCTAAATACGCCTGTTGTACCCCTCTCTAGAACACCAACGTATGTGTCTGCCGTTGTCTCATCAACAGGTGTATCGGTTGTTTTTACCATTCCAAGTTTTATTTTTTTCGCTAGCTTTTCGTATTTCACACAACAGCTTTACTAGAAGTACTAGCCCATCCGAGATCTAATTCATGGCGAAATGTTCTTATTCAAACATTGGTTATTTCTGCAAAATGATTAGCTAGCAAATTAAAGGATATATAAGAAGGACCGAAGTAAATCCGAAATCTGATATTCTTGTTGTTACACATGTTTCAGTTATAATCATAAAATATCCATATAGAAATACTCAAACAAAAACGTTTTATGCAAATGCTACTGATGGTGTTGATATATAAAATGAAAAAAACTAACAGCCGTAATGACGTTCAACTACATCAATAAGGAGCAAGCGAAAAATCATACATTAACTCTTCTCGTAAATTTATTAACACTTGGGTGTTTTATTTCTGTGCTATCAGCAACTACCACCGACTGTGGTATTATGTTACACACATTAAACTTGGGAGATGCAGACGAAGATACGGTGCTGATCAAAGTAAGCACTCAGATAACATGCTGATCGAGACGTCCGTCATCCTGTCACGTGACAGCACGGGATGCTGACAGCTTCGCAGTGTACATACAGTGTACAACTGAATGCGGTAACAATCATTCTGAACAGGGCATAACCGGTAAAACTGCGAACACGGCAGTGGAGAGTTATGTCCCTTCTCCCGTGTCCGTCTCTGGACGTGTTTCCTGGACAATGCATGTTGTGTTACACTTTTCTTTTGATTTCAATACCGATGTATACAGTTACATAATACATGGCACGTATGCTGATTCGACACGTAATTCTTTTTGTATTCTATACAACGACCTTTCGAAATGTCTATAAGTGAACGACTTCTCAAAATAGAATAAAATATTTAAAAAAATAAATGATTACAGATCTTTCATAACAGTACACGTCCCCAATTGCATAGATCGATGCTCATGCTGTTGATCACTGGATTGACGGGTCCAGACTTGATTATTCGCAGACAGCCGCCATATAGCTGGAGTATTGAGCGGCGTAAAACTAAACTCACTCACGCACTCACTCACTCACTCACTCACTCACTCACTCACTCATAACGGTACATATGCAGTTTGGTTCTTCTGAAGTCCCCCTTTTCTCACCTGGTGTCATTACGCATTTTCAGTGGTTTACTTTTCATGGCATCGAAACAAATTATTCTCTAGCGTTGTCATAGAATCGTCCCTACGTTATTTCCGTTTGTCGTAAGAAGAATGGTGGCGTAGTAAAGTGCATGTCATCGCACCCCGGTGGCGTGAACGGTGTTCATAATCTACGTCTGTCGGAGGGTCGGCGGAAAAGCAGTCGCCTGTGGTGGTTCTCGCCGCGGGCATTGGACTCCAGTAGCTTTAATGGCTCCGTTGCCTTACACGTAAGTTCAAGTGTCTCACGGTGTGTCGGATCCAGACTCGACCAGTTCCAGGCCATACATAGCTGGCCTGTCTAATAAATGTGACGTTACATGACACATACAATCACACACTGATACGAATCTAATAATCGTTCATACAGAATGGCACTGTGTGTGTAGCAGAGTAGGATCATGCTTTCCTGGATGAGCCGAGATCAGGATATCATTCCACACATGTGGGAATCTGTGTCCATTAACCCGTTTTGTGGAAGAATGAAACAGTTACTCTTTGAGGTTTAAATATTTATGTTCTACATGTTGTACTTTCATAGAGTCTTGGAAATATCTTATATGTGTACTTTATGTGATCAGTAGGGAGAAGCACTTGTATCAAGAGTGCGTCTAAAAGTTCAGCGTTTAGATATATGCTGTAGATATATTGGCAATGACGTGAGGCAATTATGTTTTACTAAACAAAACAATATTTGACGATACGTATTGTCTGGACCGTGCTGAAGAAAAGATGCAAGTTATAATGTGTGGTACTTTCAGTTCTGTTTTTTATTCTCCATTTTGCATACTTCGCGGAATGTTCTGTAACATTTAAGTAAAAGTAAACTAGTTGATTTGTGAGAGTAAATACCTTGTTACGTCGTGGACTGATCGTTGCACTGTTCGGTTTCGACAACGTGAAGGATTGCGGCAAATCAGTAATAACATCTCGGTGATATGATCAGATGCTTGTGTTGGAGATGGACTGATCGAGGAGGTCGATACTGTAGTGCCACTGGTCTGAAAAGTTGTGTGTTACCACAGGTTACCACTAACTTCGATCTAACTTTTACCATGTACTTATGCACTTATGCATGTACTTAAGTCCTTAGGAGCGATGGGTAGCATAGTGGTTAAAGCGTTCGCTCGTCACGCCGAAGACCCGGGTTCGATTCTGGATACAATGTGTGAAGCCCATTTCTGGTGTCCCCCATCGTGGTATTGCTGGAATATTGCTAAAAGCGGCGTAAAACCAAACACACTCACTCACTTCAGTTCTTAACTGTTATTCAACAAAGTGTGCTCTGAAAGATGCATCTCTTCTTCGTAACGGTAATGTGTCATTCTGTGAAGCATAACGTTACATGGGTGACATAATAACAAGGACGTTGAACATGGTTGTTCGCCTGCCTGTATAAAGGGGCAGTCAGAACATTGTTACTTATCACGGTATACTGTTAGGTGTCAGGAAAATGAAGAACATTAGATCTTGTTGAAAAGAAATACAAAGGTTGAGAAAACGTGAAGACCAGAACACAACAAGAGCTGCATTGGGGGACGTTACAGACAGGTCGAGGGCAGGTCAAAGATCAGAACACAACACGAGCTGCATTGGGAGGGGGAACGTTACAGACAGAAAGAGGGCAGGTCAAAGACCAGAACACAACAAGAGCTGCGTTGGGTGGGGGAATGTTACAGACAGGAGGGCAGGTCAAGAAAACTAATCAATTTCCAATAACGTCATCAGCCGGCTGGCGATATCCATACGACCTGTAGTATGTGTTGTGTTCGTGATTGTCAGAGTTGCTATTGATAATGTCAGGTACGTGTGAACCATCTCAGACTGATCTAAGTACCTAGGTATTGTAAGATTGTGTACCCTATGTTCCATGAGACGTAGTGTGCACATCATCTGTTATGTCTGGAGATACACATAGGTCTGAAGCGTGAACAAAATCACCTATAGTCCGTGTATCACATCCCCAACTTATCTGTATTTACTTCAGTCCATGCTCAAACAAGGTGTGTACCTTCATTTGGCTGACAGTACACTACAAGGCATACAGTCTTACACGCGAAGTGAAACCCACCTGTTAATCCCACCTCATAGCAAAAGGTTTTAATTTAGTTTCCACGGACCATTACAGACTTTGCTTCACCGAATGTTTAGTCTATTACGTGACTGCAATCATCAGAATCAAAACAAATATTAATTTATGGATGATATCTAATGCATGTGTGCATAGAGAGAAAACGGTACGTACACCGTGTGAATGTCTGAGATTCTGTCTGTGCTTATAACACCTATATGTAAGAAAATATACAACTTTGCGAGCAGCGGTAATAAATTAATTGGGTAATGAACAGAATAAACCTTTGCGTGTCTCTATAATTACTACATGTGACCAGGTCCGATGTACCGATAAAAATAACCATCA